GGAAGCTGCACAGTTGCATCATGAAAGATACGAACCCCTTGTGGCAGGGGTTTGTACACAGGGATTTGTACACAGGGATGCAGACCTCTCCATCATTTTCTAAGGCAACCTGTTTATGTTCCAAATTCAAATAGATGATGGAAAAATAAAATTTAAATACTGACTGAATGTATGTGTTAGAAATTTTTGTTTTCAAAATGTGTCTTCATGTTCCTCTCTGTTTTGACATCTGCTTTTGTCAGTGCCAAATTATGTATTTTCTACATTACATTTTTAACATCCAGAAATTTGAGTGGCAGATAATTAACAGATACAAGGATGATTCAAGACAGGTTTACCCTGCATTGCTTTCTTTACGGAGATGATTTTTCAGTTGTCTTTTCAGCAATGTATTTTGGGGTCCTAACAGGAAGATCATAAAGCAACATATGTTCTTAATCTGCAAGCGTAGGTACATGACACTTAAAGAGGCATAGTGCTATTACAGCCAACGTTCCATTATACTTGCTGATTGATAAGTCTAACATGCTCCCTGCAAGGAAGTGGCCTTTGCTTGGTATGACATTGTGCATCTGAAACAGAAGAACTATGAAAGCAGATGAGGGGTTAATCTAGAACCATGTAACATACATCCATGTAAACGGTACCTAAACATGCTTTTTAACAACATGTGGTATGTATTAGAAAAATTTAACTTGTGTATTCTTTTTTTTTTTCTAGGATTTTTATTAAAATCACATTTCCCTTCATTATCAAGTAAGAAATTAATCTTCCAGGGGAAACAGCTGCTAGCAAACTGATCCTTTGTTAGCATTATTGTTTGATATACGTAATTAATTCTTAATACAATTGATATTGTTTTCTAATTAGGAATAATTAATTTGTCCTGGGATTTTAGTGGGGATATTTTTAGTGTTGGTTTAGTTTGTTGGATGTTTTTTTGTTTGGTTTGTTTATTTTGAAAGAGTAATTTTTTAATTCCAAGGATTCTGGGAAAATATCAGAAAATATTGTTTGGAGAATGGTAGCCTTGCAGCTGATCTATTCCTATGACAAAAAAAAAAAGTCCACCTGACCCTGAGTACCAGGAGCTTAGTTTTGCTGATAGAAGTCTAGTTAAAAGGTAGCTCTTTATTCACTTCTTTATCATAAGTATTAGCAGAGGTGTAATGAACTATGTCCTTTAAGTAGTGTTTCAGTTGCATAGTAATGTTTTTCTTGCACTACATTGGTAAATGAGAGTTACAGTTTAATAATCTATGTTCTTTCTTGTAGAATAAGCTAAGAAATGGGTGCATAAAACCCAGAAAATATATAGCTGAAAAATGGAAACAATTTTGAATTACTGACTTGTGCCCTTTTACTCGAGTTGGCTATTGAATTTCTTACCACCACTCATTGTGCAGGCAGTGCTGCAAATGGTTGCATGTTGATATGGGTTAGGGAGCTGCAAATAACTGTCAATTTATGTCCCAAGTTTTCCACTGAAATTAATTTCTTTCTCTGCTGTTCTTATCTCTGCTGAACTAGTTTCATTAAGAAATTGTGTGTGTGTGATCTTTCGGATTTTGAACATGAATTTTGAAAAAATTTATAAATTACTTGTTAAAGTAAATATAGAAACCTGCTCACGTATGTCATTGATTTGCATATTTTCTACCAACAGACACTATTATTTTCCTAATGACAAAATCATTCATGTTGCAAGTTTATAAAAATACATGACTGTGAATGTCAAATACTATTTTTCTTATTTTAATCTCAGACATACAGATGCATCCTGAATGACCCCTAAATGACAGAAGTCAACCTATATGTTTTGTCTTCCATTTTGCTGGAAAACTGTCTTAAACTAGAATAGCATTTATTAAAATTTCATCAGTCTAACACATACAATCACTTCACTGAATTAACACTTCAGTTAGCAGTTTCTTGATTTTGTTCCAGTCTTTGAATATGGCAGTAGTAGAGCCTTTGTCATTTTTCAACTTGCTTTCATTTTTCTTAGATAAGAGTGTCATTGTAAATCAGTTTGAAGATGAAATTAGTAACAGACTCCCTAACAGTACTTCCTTCTGTAGTAATGACATGTTCCAGTTGCTTATAATATAGCGATTCTTGGTGATATGGGGTTCAGTGGCAGAAAACAGACTCCAGAAAAAAAATGTTTAGCTATAGAGAATTTCCTGTAAAGTCTTCAGGGGACTTGCCTTTCTCAAAACTTTGACATTTAGATTGATATATCATTGCTTCATTTCTAGATGCACCACTCATAAATGGCCTCAAAGTTTTAGGAGGTTAGCCTGTAAAGTAGTTGAGCTCTTAAAACCTATTAAAAATCGAATATGCCACTACTCCTAAGATGTTAATCTTTTCTTATATCAGAATCTATCATGGAAAATAGATGAGAACCTTGGATCTTTTTGAAATTTGGCAATGTTTTCAGCATACACTACCAGCAGATAGTAACTTCGTCTCTTATGGCTGCTTACATTACTTTTTAAAGGATCTTGTTTTTAATTGCCTGAAACATTGCCAAGCTGTAACAGGTTGGGCTGGAATTTTCCACTGAAAGAAAAGCACAATATGGATTCCTCGTTTCCTGTATGCTAAATGCAGCAGGGGCCTGTGGGAAAAGTATGCAATCAAATAATTAAACAATCTGCCACAATGAATACACCTAGGGAGAGGATTTGAGGGCAGCATATAGCTTGACTTCTGGCTTCTTCCGTTCTTTCAACACTTGATTTTATGTCTTTGTTTTGTGCTTAAGAAGGTATCATGTTATGTCACTTATTTGTGAGTGCTGACATAGTGAAAAATGCATATGACATTGATACCCTGAATGTGTTTGTGGGTTTTGGAGGGTGCTCATGTTCTTTTGGGATTTATTTCCTGTTTGGAATTTATTTTAATTTTTTTAATTTGGCCTCTCTTTTTGTAGGAATCGCTTTTTAGTTTGGCCCTAACCAGCAGTAGAGTGACTCGAGTACTTAATGACTTGAGTACTTACTTACTCAAGTCATTACTTGAGTAAGTACTTACTTACTTGAGTATGTAATCAGATATCCAAGACCAGTGCAGGAATACGGAGTGCTCTGTAGATACTTGAATTAGAAGTCCTGGTCTGCTAGATTTACAGGCCTACACCCCTTTTTGGAAAAACTGTTATTTGCTCATGTTGGCTTCCCTTAGCCTTGATTCAGCGTGACTTCTGACTCTATGTCACACTAATTTTGTCTTTAGGCTGTGGTTTCATCATTTTGCATGCACTGCACCCTAAGTCCTGAAACTCAGACTTATGAGCCACATTTTGCCTGGGATCCCTATTCTCTCATGACTTAGGAAAAAAAAAAAAATAATAAAAAATCTAACTGGCCCTGTCCATTTTTCTTTCATCAAGTAAATCCTTCATAGCTCCTCCTGCTTTGATTTTTTGGGAGTGTGGTAGAATCGTAGAATCATAGAATTATAGAATAGTTAGGGTTGGAAAGGACCTTAAGATCATCTAGTTCCAACCCCCCTGCCATGGGCAGGGACACCTCGCTCTAAATCATACCACCCAAGGCCTCATCCAACCTGGCTTTGAACACTGCCAGGGATGGAGCATTCACAACCTCCTTGGGCAACCTATTCCAGTTCCTCACCACCCTAACAGGAAAGAATTTCCTCCATATATCCAATCTAAACTTCCCCTGTTTAAGTTTTAACCCATTGCCCCTTGTCCTATCACTACAATCCCTAATGAATAGTCCATCCCCAGCATCCCTGTAGGCCCTCTTCAGATACTGGAAGGCTGCTATGAGGTCTTCACGCAGCCTTCTCTTTTGGTAGTTGGCTTCAAGCTTGAATAAAGAACGCTCATCCTTCTATCTCTTCCCTGATGCCCTCATAGCTATTAATTTCCAGGTAATGCAGAACTGGGGCCAGTGACTCACCTGGAGTCAGCCTTAACCAACCTCTACTTGGACAGGTCCTCCAGGGGTGGAACTGGGTAAACTGTGACTTCACAATTTTGGGAAGATACTTAACTATTTATTTGGAATTAATTGGCTGGTTAGATGATGAAATCCTGACTCTCTTGTAGGCATTTTCAGTCTGTCATTGGCTTGGGCAAGGGCACATTTATATTTAGAGCCCTTGTGAAAAAGCTGTGTAAATGCAGGGTATGTATCTGAAAGTCACTGTTCTTCACCATTACATACTTGTTTGATGTTGCTTATTTTCAACCTTTGCTTCTTGGAGAAAGAGCCTGTCTTTCTCTGTATACCAAATTCTTTCTCAGAAACTTCAAGTCTACAATTATCTGTACCACAGTGTGTGGCTTTCTGACATCTCATTCATCTGTTGTTCTTCAGCATTGCCTGCCTCAGCCTCTCACAGTAAAGGATTTCACTTTGAAAAATGTCCAGTTTTTGTCATTTCATACGTGACTTCTAAAGACTAGCAATTTTAAAATTATAGGAGGGTATATTCTAATTTAAACGAACTTTGGCAGATGACCTAATTTGACTACCTTCACAGATTTTTAATCTTTTTTTAATGCCTCTCCCTCCAATATAGTTTCAGGACTGTTTTCTTAACCTTTCCTAGTTTAAAAAAATCTAAGTTCTTAATGTATTATGATTAAATGCAACCATGTTCTGTACTCGCCCTGCCATTCCCTGCTGTGCAATGTAGACTGGTGGAAATTCAACTTTTCTACGGTAGAGGTGATAAAACTTGTGTTGCTTTGAAACTTTTGACTGAAACTTAGCAGCTGGAGGTCTCTTTTGCAGTTCTTTTCCAGCAAGACTTTCATCTCAACTATGCTCTTTCAGCCCTAATAAGACAATTACTCGATCTCCTCACTCAAGCTTCTGTAAGGCTTTTTCCTTCTCTGTGTGTGTCATTGTAGGTGCTCAAAGCAGTTTACTAATTTTTTTAAAATTAGAAATTATGGAAGCCTTCAGAAATTTTGGACTTTCTCACTAGCATTCGGCATTTGTTTTACTCTCTAGGAGAAGCCTATATGAGAATGAGCCGTCTGCCAGAAGCAGAGCACTGGTACGTGGAGTCACTGCGATCCAAGAGCGACCACATCCCAGCCCATCTCACCTATGGAAAACTGCTGGCCCTGACGGTGAGTTGATCAGCAGCTCCTGGGAGCTGGAGCTGGTCCCAGGCGCTTTGAGTTGGTGAGGTAGAGGGATGGGAAGACTTCGGTCTGAGAATTGCTTATGGCCTATTTATCATGCCATTTCAGTTATTAGGGTTTTTGACAGCATCATTTTTTTTTTGTGAAACACTGCATCCATTCCTGAAGTATCACCACCTCTGTGCTGTAAGAAAACACTTATAATAAAGTAGGAACTTTATAACAGATAGTGAGGAGTTCTTTGTTTGAGAAAGCCTTTATTGTAAGTAGTTTAGATCACAAATTATGATATTAATACAAAAAGATACTTAGTGTTTTACCCAGGATTGTTGTAGCAGCCTATGGCAGAGCTAGGGGTGCCACCTATACTTTAAGAATTACATGTTTCATGCTTTGAATTTACTTACTTCTTTAGGACTATCTCTTTGAGCATGTGAAAAGAACTACTCAACTACTAAGGAGTGGTTCTAAAAAAATCAGAATTGGACTTTTTTGTTTCTTTAAAATTTACTTTGCCTTCTGAGTAACATAGCAAGATGGCATCTTGATGACAAAGTAATTGGAGATGACAAAATTTTTCAAGTGGTTATTTCATTTGTGAAGAAAAAAGTTCATTAGTCTTTGTTCTGTTCAAATTTGGCACTTATTTAATTTAGGTCTTTCAGCTACAGAGTCTGAAAAGACATTCAATGATAAAATGGACGATGAAGAGATTTGGCAGTAGAATATGGATATTTGTCTCCATGTTGGAGATAGATGGGATTTGAGCAACCTGATCTAATGGATGGTGTCCCTGCTCATGGCAGGTGTGTTGGAACTACATGATCTTTAAGGTCCCTTCCAACCCAAACCGTTCTGTGATTCTACGTTGGTCACTTACTAATCACTTCCGCAGCCTACTACCTGCTTAGTGTTTCACATTAAATTAATTTTGTCTAGTTTGTAGTATACTGAACTGTACTAGTATTATTTCCTATTGCAAATATATGACTGCTGTAACTGACATGCTTCCTGCAAGTTGACATAGGCTTCCTGGAAGTCTACATAGACTTCCTGGGATACTGTAGCATTAGAGCCGCAACCTTTGGCATAGTTGATTCAGCCCATACCTAATTTGAGGTACCGCTGTGATTTATTCTTCTGTTAAACTTTGCTACTTAGGCTTATGAGCATTTTCTCACAGCCTGCATATTTAGAAGAGAGAAAAGCCTTCTTCAGTTAGGTTTCAGCTGTTAGAGGAGGGATGTTGTAGAGGCTTCTTTCCCCCCATCTGTTGAACCAAACTTTCATACTTGTTGCGGTCTGGTTTCTGAATGTAAGTGCTAAGACAAAACCATTGATAACACTTTTCCAGAAGAGATATGTGAGATGGATGATGAAGTGACAGGTAGAAGTGGGTGCTAATATAGATAGAAAAGTTTTCTCTGTCAGTGAAATTGTGGGGTGAGGGAGGAGAGGAGAAAGGTTTCAGGCAAGTTCCTAAGTTGCAGCCAAAGGCAATTCTAGTATAAACTCCCCTAGCAGTAAAGTCAAACCTGTAAAGTTCACAAAATCAGCTACATTTTACTTCCTGACTTAAATTCCAATGAAGTGGCTTAATCTTAACCCCAGCTTTTCTGCCTCCTCAAATCTCTTGCCAGTATTAATGCACACTGAAGGCAGCATGACATAGAATAATAGAATCATTGAGGCTGGAAAAGACCTGTAAGATCATCAAGTCCAACCGTTAACCTAACACTTCCAAGTCCTCCACTAAACCATGTCCCTAAGCACCATGTCTACACATCCTTGAAATACCTCCAGGGATGGTAACTCCACCACTTCCTTGGGCAGTCTGCTGCAATGCTTGACAACTCTTTCAGTGAAGAAATTTTTCCTAATATCTAATCTAAACCTCCCCTTGCACAACTTGAATCCATTCCCTCTGGTCCTAGCACTTGTTACTTGGGAAAAGAGACCAACACCTACCTCAATACAACACTCATCTTGCTACAACCTCCTTTCAGGTAGTTTTAGAAAGTGATAACGTATCCCATGAGCCTCTTTTTCGCCAGGCTAAACAACCCCAGTTCCCTCAGCCTTCTAAGTCTTATCCTCTAGATACTTCACCATCTTTGTTGCCCTTCTTTGGACATGCTCCAGCACTTCAATGTCTGTCTTGTAGTGAGGGGCCCAGAACTGAACACAGTGCCAAGTACAGGGGGACAATCACTGCCCCAGTCCTGCTGGTCTCACTAGTTCTGATACAAGCCAAGATGCTGTTGGCTTTCTTGGTCAGCTGGGCACAAGCTGGCTTATGTTCAGCTGGCCGTCCATCAGCACTACCAGGTCCTTTTCCACAGAGCATCTTTCCAGCCACTCTTCCCCAAGCCTGTAGCACTGCATGGGGTTGTTGTGACCCAAGTGGAAGACCTGGCACTTTGCTTTGTTGAACCTGATACCATTAGCCACAGCCCATTGATCCAGCCTGTCCAGATTCCTTTGTAGAGCCTTCCTACCCTCAAGCAGATCAACATTTCTGCCCAGCCTGGTGTCATCTGCAAACTTACTGAAGGTGCACTCAATCCCCTCATTGAGATGATTGATAAAGATAGTACTGCTAAAGATAGTACTGAGCCCTGCGGAGCACCACTAGTGATCGGGTGCCAACTGGATTTAACTCCTTTCACCAAATTTAATCCCTTCATGCCAGCCTGGATACCTGGACCACCTTCTTATATCAGTTTTCTTTGCTTTCTCATAAGGAACAATGAGGGGAACCTACGCCCAGTGTGTAGGTGAGGGGAACCTATGCCCAGATTAGAGATGTGCAAAATTGCTTGCTGGTTGCAACAAGCTGTCCTTTCCAACTTTTCAGCAAAAGCTTTTCAGAGGGCCCAGAACTGCACAGAATAGTCAAGATAAGGCTGCACCAATGCTGAATAAAATACACTCAATAAAAGCACATACTTTTCTAAGTTATTTCCTTCATAAACTTCCATATATTCCCAAGAAAGCCTTCAAAGAAGACAAAGTTTTGTTATGTCTGTACAACATCCTCAGTAAAGTTTACTTCCTGAATAACTTTAAAGATACGTTCATAAAACTCAGGCTATGATGTTCAGATTGAAATAACTGTAATTTACATTGACACAAAACAAACAAAAACCAAACTAAAAATAACTGCAAATTTATCATTGGTTCTTAAAATAGAAAAGTGATATAGTTCTAATTTGTGTGCAATAAAACCTTTGGATTAAAAACCTACTTATTAGTATTGAATTTTTCTTTTTATATTATTTTAATGAAAATATTTGTCTCAAAGGCTTATTAGCTCTTTTGGGACACAAGAAATGCCAGGTGGGTTTGGACATTCTGCTGTATATGCAGAATAAAGCAGACCAAATTAAGAGCTCTAAAGGAATACCGAATGAATTTAGTCATCTTACCTAATATCATAAATCACAAGTATTTCATAATCCCTATATTGGATAATGTTATATGTTCATATCTAAAAATTATAGCTCACTAAGCTACAATTTTCCTGAGAATATATTAGAACAGCATAATTCAGTGGCTGAAAAGCATGATTAGTAGCTCAGCTAGTAGAATAATTGGAAAATAGTTTTCTGGGACTTAAGTTTGTGCTTTCTATATTATTTATTTTTTTCAAAACAACATGTAGCTGTTTAGGGCTGCAGTGTTTAGCATTATGTATTTTTCATACCTTTAACTTGTTAAGTAACATAAATTACTCAAGAAATTTACTTGTTAATGTGACATATTAGTTGACCTAGCCAATCTCCTAGCAGCACAGGAGTTTGGTATCACAGCCCCAACCCTTGCTTAGGTAATTTATTTCTGTATCACAAAGAAGAGCATAATTTTTGTGAAAGACTTTAAAATTGCATGGCTCCAAGTTCTAGGATAAAAATGAATCTGTCAAAAATGACAGTGCCAGGTGAGGCCTTGAGCATGTGCTGTAATTCATTTTCCATTTTATGGCAGACCTAGAAGAAAAAAAGTTGGCTTTCATGCTAAAAAGAATTAATTTCTAAGTAAGGCTCTTAGTTGTTTTTTTTTATTCTCCTCTCACTTTAGTCTTAAAGAGAAGACTAAGAAACCCTTCCTCTTAATGGCTGGCCTCTCTTCCGTGAGGCAGTGGACAGTTATTATAGTGGCACACTAGTCTGAGAAGCTTTATTTCAATTACAAATAAATCTGTTTCGAAGTTTTCTTTTATCTGTCTTGAGTGAACTTGAGCCCACAAACCACCCCTCATAGCTTGCAGTAGTGGAAGCTATAATTACTTAAGTACTTGAGGATAGCTCCATATTGTAACATTTAGTGCGTTGCATCTAGGAATTATAAGCTTTGCTATATTTCTTTGGAAAAAATTGCACAGTGTTTTCTTGCATTTTACACAGCACCACACAGTGCTGTTAATCTCCTATTTTTTACTGGCTTGGAAAATCACCCAAAGTGCTGTAAGAAAAATTTACTTTGCCTTGTAAAATTTTTGTGTTACAGTTCCAAACCATATTAAATTCAGTAATAATCACCCTAGAAGATTCCTTAAAATGTAAAATGTTGTTGGGTTGTATTTTTTTTGTGTTTTCTCCAAAGTGGGCTGGGGAGAAAGCAGACATAGACATGATAGAGACTTGCAGTGTTTTGGATTAAAATAAAAGAAACTGGATTGGGACATTCAAGTATCAACACCGAAGTTAAATACTTTTTTTAAGTTTTGAAATACTCCTTCCTCAGTGGGTGGCCATATTTTTGCCTGCAGTTGTTTGTTGCTTATGTTCCCAACAAATAGAAGACCAGAGTGGTATCCTGCCATTTTTGGAGAGTTGCAAAATTACTCAGAGTGCCACTATCAAATACCCTTCTCTATTCAGTAATCGGTTTAGTCCTTGAAAATCGTCTCAAAATAAATGTAAATAAATGACAACATAGAAATAAATGGAAGATAGGAAAAAGAGAAAGAAATGGGACAGCAG